CCCCCCCCCCCCCCACTGCAAACCAAATACGCCATAAGGAAGGGAAGGTGCAGACAGCTGACAAAGGTCCACATGAAAAGTGGAAGCCATGGACAGCCCAGATCTCTGTGAAGACAACCTGGCCCCAGGGACATCTGTGCACCCGCACACACTTCCTATTCATGCCCACGGTGAAGACGACACCGCTCTGCATCTCAATCTCTCCATCCACCAGGTTTGGGCAAAGTTCTTACGCGAGTGCCAGCCTCGCCCTGTGAAGCAGGCATCGCCACCCCTTCCTCAGGCAGACACTCCGCTGCCACAGGCTCTGACGTGCTGGACGGGCCGCTCCAAGAACATGTGTGTGTGGCAGCCCAGCTGAGGCAGACGCTGCTCCCGATCGCACCCCAGAGGGGACCCTGCTCCCACAGGTCTGCGGTGTGACAGGTACAGGTGCCTTCTGCCTTTCCTCCAGGCCGGGGCGAGCACTTCCTCATCTCTGCACCAGCTGCCCACACAGCTGGGTTCCTCCAACTTTCACTTGCAGATCTTTAGGAAATAAGTAACTTGACTGGCTTTAACATGTTTACAAATATTTTTCCCATTTGTCTTTGGCCTGCTTACCATGTGCACAGGTACAAGTTCCAGAGCACATGCACGCATAGGTGTGCACGTACGTGTGTTTACAAGCACAGGGACGTGTGCATGTGCGCAGGCATATTTACACACTCACGGTACAAAACTTCCATGCAGTAACACTGATCACTTCTCCTATCTTTTATGGCTTCTGGAATTTCTGCTCTGCTTAGAGCTGAGGGCCCCTGTCTTCAATATTATAAACAAATCCATCCATACTACCTCCTAGAATTTTCATGATCTTGGCAAGATGTTAATAATTCAAATCACTATTTTTAAAAAGTATTATCATAGCCTCTGTGTTCTGTTACTTAACTGTGAAATACTTGTCGGGGCAAGAGGAATAAGTTAATTCTTTCTTTTAGAAAAGATAGATTCTGACCGAGTTTAATAAAAAGCCAACGTTGGTATTAACATCATCCCGGATTTTATTTCTTTAGTTTGTTTACTGTAAATTTTTCCCGGTAATCAAAATTAGAAGGGGTTTTCCCAAATTATAGAGAAAAGTATACAATAGTAGACAATAAAATTATCCTAATCTATCACTCTACTAGGAGAAAAATCATTATTAACCCCTTATTCACACGTGTCTGTGTGTATATATATACATATATATATATATATACACATATATATGTACATTATATACATGAATAGACATATTTTTAGTCGTTTTCTTCTTTAGTTGAAGTGATACTGTATATAGCTTCTAACAGCTTTACTGGAACAGGATTCTCATCCATACAATCCACCCCTCTAAAGCACACAGCTCAGTGGTTCTGAGTACACTTGCAGAGGTGCACCCAACGCCACCCATTTTAGAGCAGATGTACACTCATCAGTGCTTATTTCCGCTCCCCCACCAGCCCCTGACCGACTTCCTGTCTATGGATTTGTCTATTCTGGACATTTCACATAAATGGAATCACATAACATGAGCCTGTGTGTCCGGCTTCCTCCACGAGTGTGATGTCCTCAAGGTTGACCCTGTCATGGCCTGTGTCAGGGCTCCATACAACATTCCGCTGTGTGGTCCCAGTACACTATATCCATTCATTAGCTAATGGACATTTGAGTTGTTTCCACTTTTTAGCGATTACGAATAATGCCGCTATGAACATTCATGTGCAAGTTTTTTTTTTCACTGTGGTAAATTATTCATAAAATTACCACTTTAACCACTTTCAAGTGTATAATCTGTGGCACTAAGGACATGAACACTGTGTGCTCTCATCACCTCCGACACAGGTTTTGTGTGGACAGACATCTTCATGTCTCTTGGGTCAATGCCCTGGAGCAGAACAGCTGAGTCTTACAGCAACTCTGTTTAACCCTTTTGAGGAAACACTGTCCTATGACCTGACTCTGTTTTACAGCTTAACACAACATAGAACATCTTTTCCACACCGTCAAACTCTTGGTGAACATGATGTTTCACAACTAAGTTTGAACAATGTCAATGGGACCCATATGTGTACTGGACTTTCATTGGGAAAAACACTGAAGAAAAGTTCCTAAAGCTTTCTGAGGAGACAACGCCCTATGGTGACCATTTTACTTGTAAGCAGCAGGGAAGTTTCATGCGATGAGGGGTCCCATTTGTCCTTTCTGAGCACTTGCACTCTTTGTGGTGGTTCCGCTTCCTGTTTGGTAAGGAGATTGTGACCTCTACAGGTCCTAATTTATTGGATGCTTCTTAAATAGAAAGCACATGATTTTCAGCTGGGGTGCCTGGGTGGCTCAGTCGGTTAGTGTCTGAATTTGGCTCACATCATGACCTCATGGTTTGTGACTTGGAACCCCGCGTCAGGCTCCCTGCTGTCGGCACGGAGCCCGTGATGTGGATCCTTGGTCTCCCTCTCTGCCCCTCCCCCACTGGTGCTCTTGATGTCAAAAATAAATAAACATTAAAAAAAAAAAAAAGATTTCAGCTAAAGTTGTAAATCTTCCTTTCAGCTATACAAATTTTGTTCAGTTACTTATCTTGCAAATCTGTAGCCAGAAGGACTAGGAACTGGCTCTTATTTATAGGCTGTAACTAGACGTGTTACTTTTCTGATAGTTAAAAAACCCTGAATCAGAGGAAAAGGACAAGAGGACCCTGTCAACAAACTGACCTTAACAGTCACACCCACCAGGTAGCAGCCTAAGCAGGCATTCCATACGGTTCTCTCCTGCAACCCTCACACAGTCCACGAGCAGGTACTATTTCCATACCATTCCCGTTTTTTTTTTTAAAGATTTCATTTTTAAGTAATCCCTACAGCTAACGTGGGGTTCGAATCCACAACCTCAGATGAAGAGCCGCACGCTCTGCCAACTGAGCCAGCCAGGCACCCCCGCGCCGCCCCCACCATCAGGGAGAAAACTGAAGCCCAGAGACCGTGAGACCAGGAAGCGGCAGAGCTGGAGGGAGCTCCGGGGCCTAACCCTCTGGGCATCCCAGTTAAAAAGCTGTCTCTATTTTCCAACAGGCTGAGCTATCGGACAGAAGAGAAGACATCTTAATCATTTTCGGATTACTGAAACTTAATATAACTTCT